AAGTCTTGATGAAGAGAGACAGAAGCTTCTCGCTCAACTTCACACAAATGATTGTTTACCAACAGCAGAGCCAAAAGAAAGAGCCAGAGTTCATGTTTTCAGTCAGCCGTCTCTCCTCACATGCCAGGACTCCTAAAACAAAGTGGCAGGACTCATTAGCATCCCGTTTCCCCCGCGTTCATCTTTCATCGGCCCTTTAGGAATGTGAGCTTTGGCCTCAGGTGTTTGCGGGACAGGTCTCGTCCCAGGCGGAGACAGAAAGTCTATCCGTTAGCGCCTCGTCCAGCCGTGGCCTCCGTCGCACCTTGTTCTCCCGCCCCCTACAAATCTCTGAGTAAACCGCCAATCATTCATCATCGAGGTGAAGGGGTCGTTATTGTCCCGATGACACCAGACAATCCCCTATGAACCGCGCCTCTACCCCTTCTCTATTGTAGAGGCATCCATCCAGCGGGATGAATGGAGAGGGGCGAGATAACACAAGAGAGATGGACACAGGACAGAGATGGCAGGATAAGAGCAGAGGTACAGGTGCTGCTGGGATGAATGCACATACCAGACAGGGTTCGTCTTAGATTTATGAAACCATGACAGGAAGTGAGGAGGAAAGACGTCTTTACTCTATATAGCACCTGTTAAATCTGTTTTATCTGACCATTTATGTTGGGGGGAAAAAAGAGGGTAACCAGAGCCATTGAGATGGACACTGATAACTCCAAATAAAGAGGTAAATCAGGGAAGAGACAAACAAAAGAAATACTATTTTTTTTTGGGCTAGAAAATAAATATAAAGGGAGGGGCTTAATGAGCCTCTCTGGCTCCTGATTGGATAATAGTGAAGGCAGGGACTACTAATGACATACATGAAGTAAAGCATTCACCTCTTGTTAGTACAGGTGCTGCTGGGATGAATGCACATACCAGACAGGGTTCGTCTTAGATTTATGAAACCATGACAGGAAGTGAGGAGGGAAGACGTCTTTACTCTATATAGCACCTGTTAAATCTGTTTTATCTGACCATTTATGTTGGGGGGAAAAAAGAGGGTAACCAGAGCCATTGAGATGGACACTGATAACTCCAAATAAAGAGGTAAATCAGGGAAGAGACAAACAAAAGAAATACTATTTTTTTTTGGGCTAGAAAATAAATATAAAGGGAGGGGCTTAATGAGCCTCTCTGGCTCCTGATTGGATGATAGTGAAGGCAGGGACTACTAATGACATACATGAAGTAAAGCATTCACCTCTTGTTAAAGGGACAGTTCACCCAAAATCAAAATTCTGTCATCATTTACTAACCAGAAAACCTGTGTGAGTTTCTGTATTTGTGGAGCACAGAAGACATTTTTGCACACATAATGGAAGTCAACAGGTTTAAGAATAAGGCTGCATTATATTAAATAAATAATAAAAATAAATAAATAGTAAAATAATGAATAAAATTAAAATAGTACAGAAATTGCAATATAATTAAAATATAATTTAATCAGATTATTATTATTATTATTATTTCTTTACATTTTTCTATATTTATTTAGCAAAATCTTTAAAGGGCTGAATGATTTGTGAAAAACTTCCCAAGATTTCATGCTTGGGTTTTTTTTTTTTTTTTTACAATAAAACAACTCGAACCTCTTTCAGGAAAATATATTTTACCACATAACTTTTCATAGGCTACATTCCCACAGTTTTCGACCAATTCGGCATGATTATAAAATAATAATTATGATTTTATTGTGATCATTATTACATAAAAAATAATCTTGTATACTTAATGAAGACGTGTAACGAATGTGTGAAAAAGAATGTGTTTCTGCCTGCTTTTTGTGTATACGTGTGATGGATACAAATAGAAACCTAAAAAGTGGGTTATGGAGGGATAGAAAGACAAAAAGGAGTGTGAGTGTGACTGAATGAGGAATCGTAGAGACTGATAAATGAGTGAAGGTAGTGGGATCAAGGACATGCTCTGGTTTAGCTGAACTCTTCGCAGGGTCACATAGAGGCCGAATCAAATGAGTGATGAAGCGCATTACATTTGATCTGAAGAAAGGAAGCGAGTGAGGGAAAAAGAGAAACAGGGAGTGGAGAAAACAGACTAATTCTACAGGAGAAGTGAAAGAGAAGAGGAGAAATACAGTCTTCCAGAGTGTAGTTAATTCAACGTCATTTAAAAAAAAAAAAATAAGCAAAATGATTTTACCAGCTTTTAGACATGATGTGGATATCTAATACCTCTTTAACCATGATAAAACCTCTGTAATGCAAAGCCACGTGCGGCTTATTGCTTTTATTACAGCAATTTGATAAATAACATGTTCATTCTTTAGCTTTTGACTAGTTTATATTGTGATATAATGTGTGATTATACACATTTTTATAGAAGAGATTTATTTAATTTTGATAATGCTGTTGAAAAGCGCTTTTGGTCAGCAACTATTGTTTTTAAATGGACTGTATAAATTAATTTGAGAGCTTAAACTGTATTTTTTTATTGTAATATATGCAGATTAAAAAAAATTATTAAAATAAGATCAAAATGTGGGTGTATAGACAGATGACAGACAGACAGACAGACGGACAGACAGATAGATAGATAGATAGATAGACAGATGATAGACAGACAGACAGACAGACAGACAGACAGATAGATAGATAGATATTGTATTTAGATATTATAAAGTTAGAATTTGTAATATATAATTCTATTTAACATTCTTCTTAATTTCTAATTAAAAAATATTTTAGATATCTCTATATTTTTTTGTTATTTTGCTATTCATGCTATTTAAATATTTTATGTATAAAGAATCACTAAATATAGTTAGACATATGCTTTAAAAAGGTCAAGACAAATAACTATATTTAAGGAGTATCTCTCTAGTTTCAATTAATTTCATGATATTGTAGACAAATATTACATAAATGGATATTATGGATGGATTATCTTAGTGCAGGTTTACGATCACAGCCTTCTTCTTTCATTTTCTCCCACTTTTTTCTTTGTGTAGCAGATTCATATCCATTTATGTTAAAGACCTATAATTAAAGACCTATTTATTTTCGTTGGCGTTCGATATCCCATGACAAATTGTCTTTGACTTTGTTCTCAGGAACGCCACACATTTTACAGCTTGTGTATATTCTGTGTATATTTAATGTGTAATTTTGCAATTTGCCTATTGTTGGTATAGTGTTGTAAAGCACTTTGGTCAACTCCGGTTGTTTTTAAACTGTGCTATATAAATAAAATTGTATTGTATTGTATTGTATTCTAGCAAAGTGAGCAAATCCCCTCTGAAGTGTTGTTGGTTAGTGAAGTATATGGGCTTTACTGACTGTGAGCAGTGTGGTCCTCACTGCGAGCCCCTGTGGATAGAGTCATCACAGCAAACTCTACACACATCACAACCACAAACATCGCACACAACCAACACGTCGCAAACTTTGTGTCAGAAAAGCAGGAGAATTAAAGTGATCTTGGAACATGAAGACAGATGAACGCAATAACAAAGGCTTTAAAAATTTGTGTACTCTGTCACAGTGGTGCGTCGTGGGTAAATATGTGCCATAACTCACGCAGCGTCACCGCGGTGGCGTTTAAGCGTTCATGTGTATAATTATTTTGGAGTATGTCTCCATTTTCTTTCTTTCGCTTCAAATCAATTTTTATGGCAGCTGATTTTATGGCCGTCATCAGGGCGGTGGAGAGACTCTGCTGCGTCTGCTGCGGGCGTAAAACAGCAGAGAGGAGCCATAGAAATATTACCGCTTCCACTGCGCCTCAGGCGGCGCCACCAATGAGAAAATCTACGTGTTTGTGCGAGAGGAGAGCTGAGGGTCCTGTCGGTGACCTTTGACCCGCACTGTTGTGGTAACGGGTTATCGTTTGACTTTCACTGACGGCACGTCACACGATGCCTTGAGAGAAACGAGATGACAAGCTCTGTCGGTCTTGTCCGTCTTAAGTACTGATTCAGCTCCAAAGGGAGCGTTTCTCAAACCTAGATTTAATTTAGCACCAGACTAAAAATGACATCTGACAGAAAATCATCTTTCATGCAGGAAATCGAGTCTTGGGTTTGGAAAACGCCTCGCTATGAACTATAAGAATATTTAGAATTTATGATGATGTAATTTCTGTTATGATTGCAACTTGTATTTAGGTTTATGAATTTGAACAAAGTGGAAATTTTTGTTGTTGTTGTAAGCATAAATCTAATAATATATGGCAATGTTAAGGCTATTATATTATATTATATTCAAAATAATATATATATCCTGAATTAAATTGGCTTAAATAAAAATATATTCTTTGAAAATGAGTCTTAATAAATGTATCTTGTTTTAATGATTTTGAACAAACCTCTAATTCCAAATATTAAACTGTCATTTTTTCTTATTTAGCTTTTTTCTTCTTCTTGCAACCACTAATGTAATAATATCTAGCAAGGTTTATGCTTGAATAAGGAAGAACAAAAAAACCCCATTATATTATACATCTTAATATAGTCCTGAGTTATACTTATTTTATCTTAGTATTAGTAGATAATCATGCAATTTGTCTGTAAAACAAGGCAAAAATAAAAAAGAAGACACACAAACATTATTATCATTTATTTATTCTGATTAAATAATGATTATTTTTATATAATTTTTTTGACATTACAGAACATCTTAGCAATCTTAGTAATCACTCACAACACTACTTTTGCATGGGCAATTTACATTTTCTTCACAATATGTACATGTCTAGTTAACTGATCACTATTATAACGGTAACAAAGCTTCCTCTTTTTTTCTCCCTGACTGCTCTTTATCACAGGATTAGTGCTGTCCAAACACAGCGCGGCCCTCTTGAAAGAGGCCTGAGCCCAGGGCAAGGCCTGCGTCTGCTCAAAGCCGCTCCGTCTGAAGCAGAATTAATGGCGGCAAATATTAACACCTGCACTTCTGTAAATATTAGTATCTCGCGCTCTCTCTCTGTAAATTCTGCAGGTGATCTTTGTCACCTCTGGAAGTGGATGAGGACATCATCTCACATGGACATAACGGCTTAGTGGAGATCAAAGCGGCGAACGGGAACTGAGGGATCTGGATGTGTTTTGTTCCGACAGGATAATCCGGGCTTCTCGCTGGGACGCTAAAACTGAGCTTCTTCGCTGCGGTACATCATCATCCTCCCAACGCAACAAACCTGTCTTAAATGTCACCTTTATTCTTTGTTTCTAGTTGCTTCTTTTGCCAGAGATGATCTGATGGCCTTTATTTCCAGCGGGTGAAATAGACCTCTGGTGGATTGGTGAGGAGATTGAGTCTAATTGTTTCTATCAGTCTTTCTTCGTTGGCGGGTTTCAGGCTCTGGCTGCGTCCCAGATGTCATTTTAGTATCTGCTCGCTTTGAGAGCGTTCACTCAAAAGCTGAAAGTGGAGTATCATTCTTTCTGCTCTGAAGTGTAACTTTTTATTCTAATGAAATAGTATTTATGTGAGTCGCTTTAAAAGCAACAAATTGTTGACCCAGTACTTGTCGGAAAGCACGACTCCTTTTTATGATCTCTGGCTCAGGACGTTGTTCCTTTCTCCTACTGGCCGGGTTTTATGCATTCGAATGCTGTCAGTAGTTCTACTCGAGCCTGATATAGCAGTGCGCCACCTGCTGTTCTCATCCAGAACTGCAGGCGTATCCATAGACTTGTCCGCCTTTAGCAACATTAACATAGTAATGGTAAACTCATCTTTTAACTGTTGTGTAATAAATAATATTGTATTATATTGTGTATTTGTATGCATTTGTTTATCATGATTTTACCAGTTGAGCTTTAATTACTTAAATTAGTTTTGAATAGGCTATATTATATAGATGAATACATATTACCTCCAAAAACATGTTAACTTGTAATGTTTATTACAAATAATTATATTATTATTCATATTTTTATTTATTTAATCATTATTTTTTTTAAATTAAATCGCAGCATCAGAGTTTCAGATGTGGAGGTGGTATGACTGGGATATACTGGGGATTTTCTTTTTTTTACATTTTTAAAAAATGTAAAAAATTGTAAATTTTTTTTACTTAAATTGGTGTTAAAATCTAAAGAAATTTTTATTAAATTTTTAAATTAAATTTTATTTTAATTTAACATGATAAGGAAGCTTCAACACATTACACAGAACTCAATGCATTCTATTTGTAATTGAATGGGAAGCTTTTTCTTTAAGGTCTCTGAATGTTGTTTTTCAAACATTTTAATTTTTAGTTTCTATACATACCTTGCGTGACAATATTTAAACTACATTTTATAGAATTTAAGAATTGTGTAAATAAAAAATAATTTAATAAATAAATAATTTTAAAATAAATAATTAAAAAAAATATTTTAAATGCAAATCTGAATAATGGAGAAAAAAAAACTTGCCCAGCTTTAAATAATCTAAAATATATGACGGTGTAAAATATAAAAAAGTATGTTTTTGTCTATGTCATTCATTTCATAGTTTTGATGAATTATTATTCAAACAAAAAGGGGTAAATAGTAAAAAAAATAAATAAATAATGAGTTGGTGTGACCAAACTTTAGACTGCACTCTTAAAAATAAAGGTGCTTAAAAGGTTCTTCACAGCGATGCCATAGAAGAACCATTTTTGGTTCCAGAAAGTACCATTCAGTCAAAGTTTCTTTAAAGAACCATCTCTTTCTCACCTTTTTATAATTATAGAACTATTACAATAATAAAAAAAAAGTAAGCAATGCTTTTTCTATAAGGTGTCTGAATGTGGCTATTTAAACAAAGATTTAACATTTAAACTTTTTTTTTTTAAATTTCTGTTTAGGCCATGAGTGACAGTTATTAAACAAAATTATACAGACATTAAGCATTTTTAAAATGCGTCTTAAAATGTATTTTCTGTATGGTCCTTGTAGTACGATTCAAAAAAATAAAATCACAAATGTTCATATAACCCAGTAGCTGTCGGATGCGGTTTTCCGAGAGGACCAGACACAGATAATATTAATGGTGTTTGTTCCAGATGTGCCGCGCAGATAACGATTCAGAGGGTAATTGACAAACAGATCGATGGCCTTGCATCTGTTTGTCTGCCACTGAAATGAACGGCGCTCTGTAAAGCGTCACGCTGCATTCTAGACGTCCACCACAGGAGAGCAGTGTCGGCTCAGTTTTGACGTGCACTCGCTCACACCACAACCACCTTCGTTCCCTCTTTCCCCTCCTCCTTATACATTCATTATTTATTCCCTGCTGGAAACACATCCTCTTTGTTTCAATATTCACGAGGCTGCGAAACTTCTTTCAGGTGGTCACATTACCTGTCCTTCTGTGTGTCTTACACTAGGGGGCTAAGAAGACCGTCAAGTGTGTATCGCTGTCTGCTTAAATGTGATAGTTCAAGGTCAACTGCATCGATTACTGTCATAGCAAACTGGTAACAGGTATCTGTGCCTTAAAACAGTGCTTTTGTATGAGGGAAAATGACCAGCCCCTTTTCTTTTAACGCCTCCAGAGCCTTTACAAGACATTGTCGAGAGTCCGACGGCTTTTGCATACAAATTCTCCACAGCATTCGGCTTGAATCCCACAGATAGCCAGTTTGCGAAGAGCCAGACGTGTTAGTAATAATACGGCGGGTCCACGGCACTATCTGAGGTTTGTTCTCGAGTTTAATAGATGAGCGTGTTCAGATGTTTAAAAACGCTTATCAGCTCGCTACTGGAAGGCCTCTCAGAAGACACATGCAACGGGGAAGCCCTTTAGATAAGAGCGAGAGGGAGAGATTGCTGCAGTTTTATTCTGCTGGAAGGAGGAGGAGGAGGGGATGGATTGTGGTTGTGATAGTTTGAGTTCACAACAATGGTGTGTCTTTATTTTGTATTAGCTACTGATTTCGGCACACAGTGGCCACTTCATTCTAAAACTAAAGCTAACACTGTAATAACTATCCCTAAAGGAGTCGAATATGTAATGTTATGGTTTCAGTGTAATGTTAAATTCTATTACCAGCATTTGTTTAATTTCAGTTACCAATTTATTTAGACTTATCTGTTGTGCAGTGGTGGTAGTAGTTGTAGTAAAATAATAATAATAATAAGAAATATTTTTGTTTATATTTCATGTTTAAATAGTAGACATAAAAAGTTTTTAATAATATATTTTAATATGAGCTCCTATACTCGTACTCGTTAAAATGCCCCGATACCAAACGCCGATACCACACCCATTTATAGGGGCATTCACTATAAACGTCTTTTATTTTTAACCTTGGGCATACGACTTTCTGGCGAAAGTGAATCTATCAGCCTGTGTGAAATGCGCTGTACTACTTGTCCCTCTCATTCCGCACCAGTACAAATACCTGCACGCGTAGCGCGTTTTGCTTGCTTGAGTGTTTCTGCATTATATGAGTGGCTTTGGAATATATATCGCAGCACGTTTCAGATGAAAAAAAACGACTTCTATTTCTGAAAATATCACAATTAGGAGATTTATAACGAGTGGTTCCCTGCATTAATACTTAGGACCATGTGATATTTCAGTTTTTCTTTTTTGATAAATCTGCAAAAATGTCAACAATTCTGTGTTTTTCTGTCAATATGGGGTGCTGTGTGTACATTAATGAGGAAAAAAATTAACTTAAATGATTTTAGCAAATGGCTGCAATATAACAAAGAGTGAAAAATTTAAGGGGGTCTGAATACTTTCCGTACCCACTGTATATATAGCACATTATAAGAAATACTATGTATATACATATTTCTTAGAATATTTTATAAGAAATATATGATGTATATACATAAAACTTTTATGTACATGCACGTGTGTGTATAATTTTTCTTAGTTTCCAAAAAGGCAATTTATGCAGCTTTGTTACTTAATAAAATATTGTATTTTGGGTCAATTATTAAGCTGAATCTATTTTCTATGAATGGGTAAAAAGGGCTTTCTGTTAATGTTACACCACAAATGCTGAACATTGAACATTTGTTTTGTTTTTGTTATTATTTTTAAATTTCATATTGCTTGCAGGTATCAATTTTTAAAACTAGTTTTCAGAATTCCACAGATTTTCCTTCAGTGCAGATTTGTGTTTGTTAATGATACTGATAAACGTTACAAAGTCTTACCAGTTTATTCCTAAAGGGCAGTGTAAAAAACATGTTGAGAAACGGTCTCTCTCAGGTTTGGCTGCAGAAGCGAGTTGAGTGGCCCGTCTGAAACACTGACTGGCAGGGAAACAGACATGACTCAGACACAACTGTAGGTAAATGACAGCTGGCTGAGAGCGATCAGATTGTCCAGTCAGTTGTTTTGGGTCTGCCAGGTCACATAAACAGAAATCACAGTTGTGCTTGGCATTAATTGCCTATCATATACACGTGCGCAGGCCAAAATACATTGTGTCATCATAAATGCTTCAGCGGTGTTTTATAAGGCCCTGACTCAGGGGCTTGCCACCAGAGCAAATCAATATATGTCAGCTTTATACAGAATACACCATTTGCATAATGTAAAACTTGTGAGACAGGAGTATTAAGACAGGAAAGGCTGTTGTGAAATTGGCCTGAGCGCAAACCACTGGATGAATGGCCATGCTAACATTCGTCATCCTCCAGCACAAGCACACACACACACACACACAGCCCACCATGATTTACCTCGGTGTCTGAGGCCGTACCATAATGCCACATTGTTCTGCCATTAGCTCCTCAACAGCCTCTAAACTTAATTTCCCTGATTTGTGTCAAAGTGCCGACAAGCTTCACCATCGATTAAAGTGTCACGGGAGGATCCTCACACCCGTAA